ACTCTTATTCGCCCTGTTTAACGTATTAATTATTATTATATAAGAGTCCTTGAAATCTTCAATTGATTTGTTTTGCGAAATGAGTTAATAAAAATAGTGGCACTTGTATTATATACATACGTTATATCAGAATATACAATAGTACACGTAATAATACGTACCTACATGTATAGTTTGAATACGATTTTTTATAAACATTTACAGTTTAATTAATTCGGAAATCAATATTTTTTTTATACAGACAATACTTTTTTAAACATTAGTGTATACTTAAAAGATTTTTTAATTTTCATTTGAATTAAAAAAAAATGCAAAAAATTGAAAATATACAAATGTATAACAATATATGTAGTATCTTTTCATATATAATTTCGCTATATACGATCTTTCTGTTTTTATTATGTTTATACGAAAATTGAATTGTATAAAAATACAATTCAATTTTCATAAAACTACGATTTATTGAAATATATATATTAATTGTTATTTAATTTAGGAGCACATGAAATACAATTTCCTGACGTTTGATGTATCATTAGTCTTATGTACAAAAACCGTCCAACGTTGCGGAAACTCGGGGGGATAAGCCTACAGGAAATATCTCAGGAGGAAGTCTGGGAAGTCCTTCATGGACCCAATTCACTTACTTTGATTTGATTGGTCCCATGTATGATTCGACGTCGTATATATACCTACCGTGTAACCGGCAGGGAAGCGGAAAAGGAGTGAGGGTTACTGAAGGCAAGCTTTGGTATCGTGTTTTGCAAAGTTATACCGGCAAATCCCCAGCAGCAATCAACGTATTGGCTGTTCTTGTTAGAGTTGGCAACCAGTTAAGTCGCTCCCTTTCTCAGTTTATGGTTGAATACGTCGAAACTCGGCAGATTTCTTTCAACCGTCACTCCCTTTCGCATTTGAAACTGTTCTCAATGAGCCGAAAAAAAATGTTTCATTACTTGGTGAAATTTTTTTAGTTTTTCAAGTCGAGTTTCTTTCATACGATCAATTTTTTTCAAGATCTTTCTTTTATGTATACTTTTTGAAACAACACGAGAATTAGTTCGAATGAATCAAATTAATAATTATGCATTGATAAATAGAAATTTCGTAATAAAACACAACTTCGAGAGAGTTGATAAAAGAAAAAAGTTTATTTCTCTCATAATATTTTATGATATGACGACTTTAAACTTTTTTTTATTATAACTTAGACTTTTGGAAGAACAATTCGTCGGACGAAGGTTTCCGCGAGGTTGAAATTTTTTAGAATATACGGGCAAACATTTTTCAAGAAAGGCGTGAATAACGACCGAAATATTTTTCGCTCTTCTAAACGTGCTCTACGGTTTTCCCACTTTGCTGTTCAGCCAGCCAATCCCTCCCGGCATGCTTTGCCGATCTCCTTTTTCTTTGTTCCTCCAAATGAAAGCATTTTAGGGTCTCAGCATAAAATTTATCCACCCCTTCGGTTTAAACAGCTATGCACATCTCCTTTTACTTCACAGGAGTGCGGTAATCTTGATATTTCATCCCCTAATTTCGTTTAGTGCGATATCTCATGGATGAAACGCCATGTAAAGTGAGACTCGTAATAAATTTGAGGATAAATAATTAAAGATAAAAAATAATTTCTACATCAGTATTATACATATTTTTCCAAAATTTGTATACATCTATCTATAGATGTCGCATAAAAAGTAAAATTTTTATTATTTTTTAACTCGAGTGTAGCATATATAGGGTGAGGCATTTAAAACAGGTCACCTGAATACTCGTTTGTTTTTAATAATAGAAGGAAAAGTATCAAACAAAAGTTGCTTGGTTTCGAGGGGCACATATATCTAATATAATATCAATAATTGTTTTATAAGTGAAGGCGTAAAGGATAGTCAAAGGTCAAATCTGTTTTTTTAAATGGAATGATATGTTTTTTTATTTACATTCTGATAGAACATTTTAAGACAGATACAATAACCTATAACTACGCAAGGTCAATAATGGAAAATAATTGAACGGAAAATAAATTGTTTTAAGGCACTCTTCGAATAATTTCGTGTCTTCTCTGCTTGTTGATATACCGCAAATAGCATTATCCATATTTACTGATCGGTTTGAATTTATCTGTAGATCCAAGTGAGTATCTTGCGAAATGCGTTATACGAAAGCGGAAAAAGTCGATATGATTTTTATCTATGGTGCGATTTATATTCGCAAAACACGCACTTCGATTGATAGCTCTATCAGAATGTAAATAAAAAACATTATTCCATTTAAAAAAACAGATTTGTCCTTTGCGTATTCTTTACACCTCCACCTACAAAACAATTTATTGATATCACATTATGTGCCTCTCGAAACCAAGCAACTTTTGTTTGATACTTTTCCTTCTATTGTTAAAAACAAACGAGTTATTCAGGCGACCTGTTTTAAATACCTCACCCTGTATATCACTTGGAATATTTTTATATTCCGATTTTTATATTCTGAGAAAATATGAATTATTGTAAAATATTATTTTGTATGGATATTTATTATTATAGATATTTTCTTTTATTTTTAATAAAATCTATGAATTTTTAAATATACAACTTCATCAAAAATCCGTAATAAAAAAATGGTATAAGAGCGTTATTTAAAATTTTTATTGTTTAGAAATAATAGTTATTTAATTAATGAAGCTACTAACGTGCTTATTCCACTTAATATTTATTTGATTTCTTACATTTTCAAAAAATTGTATTATAATGATAGATTCATATCCATAATATTCTCAAATAATAATAAATCGGAAAGTATAATAATATACAATTTGTTGTTAATGATAGTGATTTTAAATAGGGTGTAAACACATCTCGTTTACATAAAAAAAAAGATTGAGTGATTCTCGGGTTAAATGACAATTAAATAAAAAAGTAATATATTAGAAGCAAAGAATTTTTATCTCCTTTTTTTGTTTTGTGTTTTATATACTCTTTATTATTTTATATTATATTTTCTCTCTCTCTCTCTCTCTCTCTCTTTCTCTCTTTCTCGTAAGAGAAATATAATAATATTTTCTATGGAAAAAAAAACCTTAAATTGAGAATAAATGTATATACGTAATAATTACAGCAATATACAAGTAATGTTATAATATTCTATATTTCTTATTTGCATACAAATATAAGAAATTGGTTTAATTAGTACAGAATGTTCAGTTTTATTTCTAAAATTTGAAAAAAAAAGGTTTGTTGCTTTCGATCTACTACGTCCGCGTTCCGGAACGCGTGCCAATAAAATACGTGGAGAGAGAATGATTCTGCTATAGGGATAATAGGAAGCTTTGATAGAAGATTTTGAAATGGAAGGGAACCAGACTTGTTGGGGTCCGTGTGACAAATAACCGTTAAAAACGCAGCGTCGTAACTCCACGCCCTTCCACGCGACGCAAACCCGATATGACAACCTGGCGTGAGAATCGCGGGGGTGACAGAGGGAATGGGTAGAGATGCCCGGAGGGGTAGTAGCCTGGACGGCAGGGCACTTGATTACATCGCGATAGCAAACATCATGTTGATATAAACTTTGTTTCGGTATGATATGGATACAATGGCTGTCTGGAATTCTGACTGTATGTGCATCAGTCAGGCACCGTGTAACTTTGCACATTTTGTACCTTGTGATAACACAGATCAGCGTGATGCGATTATGTGCAAACTTGAACGTTTAGTAGGTGATTTGATTTGTATTAGGATGTTGAGATATATTAGTCTTGCATGTTAAAAAGAAAACTGTTACATTTTATTTTTTTGAAATTTTTGAAAATAGATTTTTTTTCTATTAAATTTATCATATTATTATATATTAGACTATATGTATATGCCTTTTCTAGATTATGCTATGTACTTTTTTAAAATTGTAAACTCTATGAATTTATATCTATGAGTCTTGAAGAGTCTGTCGTCATGTTGAATCCTTTATTAATGTATATTCGAAGGTTTTAGCAAGAACTAATCTGTTAAAGTTATCAGAACAGTTTTAAGAAGTTGGAAAAATATAAAAACAAAATAATATATGTACTTTTTATTCTTGGCCATTGGTTAATTGTACTTTTGGAGCAATCGATCCAAGTCGAATGCGGAAGGATAAGCCGATATAGCAAAAGTCGTAATATTATGGATATTTATGCACTTGGGCACGCACCGTATGCGAGCAAAAATCGAGTAAAAGGAGACTGCTTACGGCCGAGAAGAGAGGTTGGTTTAGGTTGGATACCGGTGGCAGAGGTGAAACGGGAGGGTTTTTACGAGGCAGTAATGGCCGATAAGGTGAGCTTGCGCCCCCACTGTCGGGGCTTACTCCGCTACTGTACCCAAGTGACTGTTCAACAGTACCTATTCGCTGTCGTATACTCCCTTACTTTCTCTCGGAACGATTCATGCCACGCTTTATTTTAAGCCGTTTACACATTTCCTTTATCGGCACGAGCCTCGTTTATATCGCCGCGTTTGATATTCGCAGTCCTAAAGCGCTGCGGGATATCAGAAATTCGTTAGAATGCTCTTTTAATAAGTATCTTAAGTGGCAGCTCATAAAGATAACATAACTTGTTTTAGAACAAGATAAGCAACAAGAATGAAATGAATCGATTGAATCTACATTCAATTCCTATATCAAAATATTTCACTATATACAATGTAAATATATATATTTCTCCTGTTATTTTTAAATAAAATTTACAATGTTTTTATCAATCAATTTTTTTATTTTAAATGCTTTGACAACGTACTTAGGCAAAGATATGATTACGTATTATCATTAGCGAAATAATAAAATTTTTTAACGCGCCATCTAAAGCGTGGTTCAGTGATTTAATTGTATTGATATAGGAGTCAATTAACATATTTCTACAGATTGTCATCATCTCAATCACTGTTTGTAATTCTTACGGATAGATACAGCATGAGAAAAGAACAAAAAGAGTTCACCCGTTCACCGCAACCCTTGTTTGTTGTTCTCAGGGGCGAACGGAATGCGCAGGCGCGGCCGACAGACCTACACGCGCTACCAGACTCTGGAGCTGGAGAAGGAATTCCACACGAACCACTATCTTACCAGGCGGAGGCGAATCGAGATGGCACACGCGCTCTGCCTGACAGAACGGCAAATCAAGATTTGGTTCCAGAATCGGCGAATGAAGTTGAAGAAAGAGATTCAGGCGATCAAGGAGCTAAACGAACAGGAGAAGCAAGCGCAGGCACAAAAGGCGGCAGCAGCAGCGGCGGCGGCTGCGCATCAGCAACAAGGGGGCGGTGGGGGACCAGAGGGGGGCAACTAGGGGTACGCCCTGCATCGGAGCCCCCCTGACCACCCCACCGCCAATCCACACCACCCTCTACTAGCACCGCAATGTACACAGCTGTATTAAAGGTAAGTGATTTTTTCTTATAATTTATATTTTCGCGCTTCTTCCTGAGTATTTTGATTAATCGTAATAGCCCGTAATACGATTTTTTGAAAAAAAAAAAGATCTATCAATCTTTTTAAAGCACTTTAGTACCTACTTACATACATATATTTATTATATGTAGGCACACACCACGCTTCTTTATATTTACCTATATTCTTAGTAATGATATCAATAAGATAGACATCTTTATATAAAATTATTTGTTACTAGAAACAGGTTCACAAATATATTCAAATAATTATAATTTTTAGCAATTATGGTCTTTGTAGATCTCACCATCAATATTTTGATTGTAAATTTTGATTTGTAAAATTGAATTTTTTAATCATTAAAAAATAAGTAAAATGCAATCCGATTTCTAAAAATTCGTTGTTAAGGCTTTGACAAGTATATCCTATGTCATAACTTTTTCAGACTTATATGTATAATCCGCGCGGAGTAATAAAAAATTTATTTAATTTTTTAAAGACTTCTGTTGCTGACAAAAGATAAAATTTATGTTGCCGAGGATTAACAATATTGTTTCAATATTTATTCTTATCATTTTTTGATATATTATACTTGTATGGGTATATATATATTTTTCGGCAATATTAAAATATAAAATAGCAGTCTAGCACTCTTTGTGGACTAACAAAGCGGACGTATGCGTTTGATGCAACAGTTAGGATTATGTGATATGCATTTAAAAAACGGTAGTCATATAAACGTTAAAAGCGGTGTTAAAAATGAGATTCGAGCTTTTAGCAGCAGCGGCTTTAAAATTAAGTTTACTCGGCGGGCTTAATGAGGATAAACCGCGTACAAGCGTGCTTTCATAATTTTCTAAGTTATGCTATTCACGTGTGTTTAACTTGCGCTGAACGTGCATCCCGAGGGAGCGACGAACGCAAACTTAAAATATCGTGTCGCGTTTTTCCTGTCGTTTCTGCTAGTATCGAATAAAAAACTTATCAGTTTTATCGCGCTATTTATTTCCGTTATTTTAAACGATCTTGGTATGAAGTAAAATTACGGCGTTTCGTATTGTAAATTTTCTAGTTACAAAATCGAAAATTGTCGAAGTACGTAAATTAAAAAAAAAAAGAAAGTCACTTATATGTATATTTAGAAACGATAGATTGTCTGAAGCAAGTGGATGACGCAAAGAAGAAAGTATAGAAAGCGTATAGTTAGGTAAAAAAAAACCTATACAATGGTACCTATTTCACTTCTCCATATCACAAAAAATTTGCTGTATAATTTATATTTCTCGAGAACCAACTATCCATTCTCAAAAAATAGGAGGATCCTTTAAATTGGTCGGCCCAGACAATATCAACTGTAAAAAAAGGTTTCCGCTTTTTTCTTTCACACTTTCACGTGAATCTTTGTGTTGGAAGATATTTACGATTCTTCGCATATTTGAGCTAAAAAACAGACCTTAGAAGCGCACACTAACTTTCAAAGTAGCATACAATTCTGATTGTGTCAATTGTGTTGCACACATTTTTTTTTTCACAAGTACAAATATACTTTTTATTGACTGCAACTTTAAATATCTTTATGCTTGAAATTTTCAAGATCATGTTTTAAATTATTATTAAAAAAGGCAGAATTTTTTTAAATCTAAAATACATAGGTAAAACGTTAAATGTATATTGTAACACTACCATAAAAAAATCACGCGAACTTTAATTTATTACATATACGTTCTCAAAATATTTAATACGTCTGCGGCAGAAAGGAAATACGCCAGGCAAAGAACTATGATCGAAACTCCTTATTCTTCGGAACCCACTGGAGCGCTTAATATCTCTTTTTTGGTATCTTCGGGCGACGAAGAAGTTCGGGCATAAATTTTGTCCCGATTGCACGTAATATTACGCCAGCGAAGCGATTCCCCGATTAACTCCGTGGATTGCACCGTAATTGTACGCCACTTGAAACGCGATTAAATAACTCTTCGCCGGTAATATTTATTTAATCGTGCTTATTTAATCGCCCATATCAGAGTAATCGTAGTCTTGAAATAGAATCGTTATCGACTTCTGGCCACAATCATAGAAATAAAATAATTTGCTTAACGAAAATTTATATTTGAAAATTACTTTTATTTATGACTGATATTTTCTTATTTATTATACACGTATTTTTTTATATCTTTTTTTATTACATATGTTGTATATATTTTTTATTACATATTTTATGTATACGTTTTATTTTCTATTATTCATAATTAATGCATTTAATAAATAAATCAGGCAAACTTTATATGTTTGTCATTTTACAAAGAATTTTATAAAAGTAAATCGTTCCGAATTCCACATCCATTATTTGAAAAGGAATGAAATGTAGATTTGCTTCTGTGAGTCGATCTAGATATATGGGAAGATAAATTTTGATAGAGGACATGAAAAAGCAATTTAGGAGAGTTTTAATGGTCAATGTATGAGAGAGAGAGAGACGGTCGTGACGGTATCGAATGATTAATTTATTTATTCTATCGAGTTAGGATTGCCACACATACATAAATGTTCTTATCATATTTATGTTAAAAAATGTATTCAGTATTTTATATTTTTATTTGTATCTACGTGTACTTAGAAAAAAAGGAAATTTTACCGCACAAATATATAATCTAATTTCATATTTTATATAAGATTTTATAATATAAATATTTAACATACATGTTTATATTTATATATTATATGTGTATACGTATTATATGTATACATGCCATATTGCGTACGGCAATCATGTTTCTAAACAGAAGCGAGTAAGTTATTTATAACCAAGAACATTTCTGATTACACAACACTTCTGATTAATAATTATAATTAGTTTACTCAAGATTCTTTTAATTTATATTAATTAATCAATATTTTTGGTCGAATTTATAAATATTAGATTTTTGAATGTTATGTGTGAATTCTTATGTTTTTTATATTTTATATAAAGTAAGTTGATACAATTTTAAATATGGTATAAATCTGAATGAAATAAAATTTGAATTCAATTTTTCAAATTTAAATTTGAGTTATTCCTGTTTGATGCTCTTCAGTATCCTCTATATATGAGATCACAGAGTTATTTCGCAGATTGGACTATTTTATTTCGTTCAAAAAATTGTACCATGTTTGAAATTGTATCATATCTTATCCTACATGCATAACAATGTACAAATACCAATAGCAATGCCATCTATCGGTTTTAATAGTTTCTGAGTTAAGTTATGGCTGCTTTCATCCTTCTGTTCGTGGGCGTGGCTAAGGCGTGGAAATCTACACGTTTTGGCATTGATTTATTATTTACCATAAAAATTTATTGTCATTTAATGACATAAAGTCATTAAACTATACACTGATTATATTAATTATCAGTAAATGTACTTCAAGTATACGAAATATGAAATAACATTCAAAATTTGAATTGCTCCATGTAACACTCCGCCAGGCACTTGTTTTACATCCATCTAAACCCCTTTCATGATAGGTGGCAGCACGAATCGGCATTACTCGGTCGATAACGTATTGTCTTTCTTACCGACTTCTCTGTCGGTACATAACTTAATTTAGAGGTTGCCTCTACCCACCAAGCAGGATATATTGAGCGGTAGTTCGATGATCGCCCGTAATGCGCTTTATGGTTTGTTTTTATCGACGTGGTTATATAGTAACTCACGACCTTCCTGTTTCTCGGCGTGGTGAGTCGAATCCAGCACGACGCTACGCGGTCGTGTGTGCGCATGCTGGTATTGGTGTCCTATAAAACGCGCGCCGTGCTGAGTCGGCAGGGCTATTCACATTTTCCCCGCGAATGCATTCCCGAAGCTATCGGTCAATAATCCAATAAACCCGCGATTCGCAGTCCCATGAAGAGAGAATAAAGTACGACGTCGCGTGATTTTATTGCGTAGTAAAGCGTGATTTCGACAGATCGATGCGCGATCACCATCGCCTCTTCGCGCGCGCGTTTACTTGCTCGCTCGCCAAACGGGTAGGTCAGGGATCTTTATTGGCTGTAAAGGAAGACGTTTTACGATCCATAAAAGCGTTTATAGCGCTCAAGTAGTCTTACCTCGGTTCTTACATCCCGGTTATATCCATTACCCCTTCCGCGACCTTTCCAAGGGCGGCCACTGGCACGCGTTTCTCTCTCTCTCTCTCTCTCTCTCTCTCTCTCTCTCTCATGCCTTTGAGATTTACAGGTTACGCTCCCGGTAACACCTCGTAAACTTGGCTTAACGACTTTAACCGGGCCTAACTGCTTCCTTCCTGCAATCAGACCCTGACCTACCTTGCACACTGTCGTCCTAGAAAAATTCCAAGATATCAATTGCACGTGGCATTGCTTCGCGATTTCATCTAAAGACTTTAAAATATTTCCTTACTTATACTGAGATAAAAACAATGCCTTCTATACAATTATTAATAATATACATACCGTACTTTCTCATCAGCATTTTTAGGAAAGTAATATAGTATTTCTTATATTTTTATTACTTTTATATATATATATATATATATATATATATGTATATATAATCAGAATTTTTTCACAAATTATAGTAGTTATTGGTAATTATTATAAGTGATCAAAATATTATTGAGATTTTTTTGATTATTTTATTTGCATATACAGTTTTTCGCTACTTATCGATGAAATATGAATTTTGCGAAATTTACTTTCATTTGATATCAACATTAAAAAGTAACGCTCTAGCTTTTAGTACTATTGTATCACATTCATACAATAATAAGAAACCGCAATATAAATACTGAGAATTTATAGGTTTCGAATGTTCAAAAATATAGAAAAGGATCACGCAAGATAAAAAAACAGAGAATTGACATCGTTTCTTTTTTCTTTCTGTTTCTCTTTTTTTCTTTTTGTATTTTCTATCTTATTCAATGAAATGCGGTTTATGAAACAGGCAACGAGCGACACAGGATAAAAATTCTCAATACAAGACCTAACA